AAAATAAATTTTATTTTATGCCATTCCCCCCTCCAGCCCCCTATCTTTCCATTTTAAAGATCATTCTTATGGGGGGAAAAAAAAGATCATTCTTATGGATAAGGATAACTGGAACATAGCTCCATCCAGGATGGTTGTCTTTTCTCTCTCTTTTTTTTTTTTAATACCAGGGATCAAACTTGGGACCTTGTGCTTGCAAGGCAGGCAGCGGAACCAGTGAGCTAAATCCCCGGCTCAAGAATGGTTGTCTTTTAAGTTGGAAACATTACTTTTAAGAAAACATATCCTGGGGCCGGGGATTTAGCTCAGTGATTCCGCTGCCTGCCTCGCAAGCGCAAGGACCTGAGTTCGATCCCCAGTACAAAAAAAAAAAAAAAGACCCTCTTTGGATCCAGATCTTCATGACTTATCATGTTATGTCTCACTGAAAGACTGTTTCAGCTGGATATGAGTTCTTGGGGTTACTCAATCCATCATCTACTACCTCTCTGTCTCTGGCTAAACTCCAGTATATATATGTTCAGCCCACTTCTCTGAGTAAATACCTCTAAACAACTGAAACACTGACTGAAAAACAGTGACATTTAACAACTGAAAAACTGACATTTTTTGAAAGAGAGATGAAGATTTGAAGTTAGACTTTCTATTTGCCAGTTTACAGCAGTGCTGCTGGTATGGTACCTTTAGATTAAGTTGGTTATAAGGTCTTTAAAATCAGAATTGATAAGTACGTTCTGAAAATGTTTCAGATAAGCAGATCCACAGCTCACACAGCTAAGTTAGAGATACCATGTAAGGTGGCACAGAGTTTTCAAATATACCACTTTTTTCTCAATTACATCTTCTTTTTCCAAACTACTGTTTTTTTTACTTTTCATTTAAATTCATGTAATTCTAAAGATTCTAGTGTCAAAAAGTATACTAACCTTTTGGACTTTTCTTTTGTGTTTGGTTTCAAAGTTGAAGAAAATACAGAATGTACTATTTCTGTCAATCAAGTTAAACAAGAACCCAAAGAACCAACATTGTCTATGGTACCAAAAATGAATTTGGATTGTGAGAAATTATCTGCTACATAAATTTTTCAAGCTTTCAGAATTTACAACTATGATGACTTCTGATGTCTTAGAAAAGAAGGTGAATATTAACAAAGCACAGCATTGTGATAACTGGACTGAAGACTGGTTTTATGATTAGCTTTGTTTTAAAACCGCTACATTTGTTGAAAATTTCAAATTTTTACCTTCATTAAGAGATATTTTACTCTTTATTTTATATAATTCTTATGCTTTTTGATTTTGTAATAAGGTCAGTGTTTCAAAAGACCATCTGAACTTATTCACAGTAACTTATTCTGAACACAAATAGTTACCTAACTCATCCCTGGAAATATCCAACTTTGGTTCTTACAAGACAAGAAAGAACAGATACACAAAAAACAATGAGTGTATATGTGTATGGGCTGATATATGTTGTAAGTTTTAAAGTTGTGAAGAAATTTTAAATTAGCAGACAGGTGAGAAAATATTTTTAGTCTTATTTGGAAAGGTAAAACATTTTACATACTAAACAAAGATCAGTAATTATATCTGTGAAGACTGCCCTTGTAGTTTAGCCTCTTCTCTTTATTTTTATTCTTTTAACAAACTAATAGCACGCTAATGGTCATCCTATTGAAATTGAAGTGTCTTAGTAAGTACTGAAAGTTTTAACTTGAATTAATCAGATGAACAACAGAAATCAGTACATATTGCTTGCAATTATACTATATTGGAGGTGAAACACTACTTATGGGTGGAAACATGAAGAAATTGAGAGAACTCAAATAGGATAATAGAATTGCCTGGTGTTTACAGATAATTTAGGCAATTTTTTGATGATAGCAGAGGATTTTGTTGCCATTTTTTGTTTTGAAGATTCTGTTCTGGTCAGACAAGACTTTGAGTTGTATTTACATTTCTGTGTCAGAGTTCTTACTGTAATTGACAGTATTAGGATTTATAATAATTCAGGGTAAGTATTTATAGTTCAGAATTTAGTATTTAAAACTTTAAAAAAATCTAATCTTGTATATTTGCTTAAGTAAGTATATTTTCTTCAAATACCAAGTAAGTACTAATCAGTATATTATAAGCTTCTGTTTTCTGGAAGATTGGCAACTAGAAAAGTCAGCTATAACTGTCAAGAAATCACCTTAAAGACTTTGTTTTTTCCGGAGACCATTTCTGGGTATATTTTACATTTTATTTTTTAAAAATAAGGATTTCAAATAGATATTAATGTTTAATATTGAAAGCATGTACAATATAATATGGAATTTAACTTCAATATTTTACAGTGCCACTTTTGGCTTCATATTGAGGTATATTCCCAGCCCTTTTTGTTTTTTTATTTTTTTATTTTTTTGAGACAATGTCTCACTAAACTGCCCAGACTTAGTGGACTTGAGATTGGGATCCTCCTGCCTCAGCCTGCCAAGTGATACGCACCACTGCGCCTTGCTCAGTCTCCCATTCTTATTTTACTGAGTTTCAGGTACATAACATGTATCTAAATATAAGCACTGTAATATTAGAAATAGATGGAATTCTAAAATTTCTCACTCTTTAGATTTATAGCCTATTAAATATACTTTATTATTTATATTTTATTTAATGCAAAATTAATATTTAGATGTATCTTATTTTTAATAAGAATTGATTTTGTTTAAAAATTGAAAATATTTGATACAATACAAGTAGGCTGCTAAATTTGATTTTTAGGCAAAGTTAAACACAACTCTTAGTTATCTCAAACCCAGATTTCTTAGTCTGTGTATACTTAAGAGGAATAAACCTAAATTAATTTACAGAGTTGCACTGTAGATCATATTCTTTTCATTTGTTATTTCTACTTTTTATGGAAACTTTATTCAAGATTTTAAGTAATATATGTGCTGCCAAAGCAAACACCCAAGATTTTAGGTGATAGATCTTCATCTTCCAATAATGATAAAGTTTTATTTTAAAATATTTTACCAGTTGAACTATATCATTTAAGAAGACATTCTTTTCTTTTTTGATGTTGAGTTGCTAAGGAGAAATGCTTGTTAAGATGCAAACCCCTGTTATCTGTGAAGATGAGAAATGTCAGAGGATTCAGCCTTTGGTACTTGATCTTGAACAAAACATAGTTAAGATATATTTTTCTTAGTTCTTTCATGAATATCTCTCCTGATACTGTTCTTTATCACAAGGACAGAAAGTTACAGTGCCTCCTTCCGACTAACAAAGTTCCTACAGAAACCAAGAGCATGAAGGAAGGTTTAAATCCCTAATTGTATACTCTTTTGGTTTTTAGGTAGAAACTGGAACTATCAATATTTTCATGTAAGTATTCCAATGAGTAGCTCTTTAAAAATAGTTTCTAAATGAGTTTTTTAAAATTCATCTTTCCTCTAAATGCATGTTTAGTCACAGTGTGTCAGTACTGTGTTTAAAAATGCTTAGCATCGCCTTTTGAATACTATGTTTACATATTTAAAATGTTTATTTTTTAATTCCCAGGGTATTAAACCCAAGTGCATAAAATTTTTAGTGTCCATGCTTGGCTTTCTCCTAACAGCTCTGCAGCAAAGTTTGACATTTATTCCTTTGTATTATTATTATGTATCACAAGGTGTACTATCTGTGGTATTGAGTTGGACTTTCAAAATAAGTAGTTAGGATTTCACAATTACAGTTCAGCTTGTTTCTTCAAAGTAGTTTTCATGTTCCAAACCTCCAAGTGAATTTTATGTATAGTCTAGTGAATTATAGATAAACACAGCCACAGTGGACTTTTTCCTCAATAGCATTTTTCTGTGTAAACAGTGAATATACTTAAAAGGAAAAAGGTTTAACATCTTGTGCAAGGCATATGTTTCCTAAAAATCACAAAAATGATAGAAAACACAGATCTTGGAATCGGATTCTGCATTTGAGTTTCTAATTTTGAGGCCTATCCCCTTGTTTTTTGTCTTCTTTATATCCTGTCAAAATATATACTTGATCATGTGGATATGAAAAAGATGTTGTTTACTTTGTACCAGATTTTTAAAGAGATTTAAAATATGTGTGTATATTGTGCATATATAGTAACTTAATGTATAGTGTCTTTGTTATAATGTAATTTTTTCATTAAAAAATCTTGTGTTTTTTTCTTATATTCTTAGAGGTTTTTTTAATACATATATTTTTTTCCTGTATATTTTTCCTGAAGATAGGGGTAGTTTTGTTCATCTTAAATAAGATGCTGAATAAACACTTTAATACCTGAGCATTTTGGCTAGAGATTTATATTCAATTTGAAACCTGAACATTTTTAATTATATCTACCAAGAACTATTCCTAATGTTATATTTGGAGATATGCATTTAGTGCTGTGACTTAGCTAAGCATCAGTATTTTAGAACAACATGTATAATAAGGTATAAATTATTCTTTTTTTCCTCCACATTTTGACATCATGACATCTTCAAACACACTTTTTGTATCCAGCGTAATGGCAGAAGGATCCAATTAAAAGAAGAGATTATGATTACAATTATTGTTATTATTATCATTATTATTACCTTCCTCCCCCTTCCTCTGTTTTATTCCAATTTATACCTGATTTTCAGGCCTATGGAAAAATCTTAATCTTTCTAGAAGTTTACTGAATTGACAAGCTGGTTTAGGCTTCAAAAATCTTAAATAGTATATATACTGTTTTGATATCTAGGCATCTGTATTTCTACTTAATTAGCTTAATCATAATAAGTCGTGAGCTGGACATGATGGTGCGTACCTATAATTCCAGCACTTTAAGAGGCTGAGATAGATAGTAGGATCACAAATTTGATGCTACACTGGATCTTAGCCAAAAGGCCAAGAAGTGATAAGATCATAAATTTGAGCCCAACCTGGGCAATTTAGTGACTTGGCAAGATCTTATCTCAAAAACTAAAAAAGGGCCAGGAATATAGCTTGGTGTAAAGGTCCTGGGTTTAATCCCCAGTACTGCAAACAAAAAAAAAAGTCTTAGTATACTTTTTTTTTTTTTGGTACCAGGGATCGAACTCGGGTTCTTGTTCTTGTGAGGCAGGCGCCAGAACCACTGAGCTAAATCCCCAGCCCCTTAGTATACTTTTGCCATATACAAATAGCTGTGGATTCTATTGTTAAATAATACAAGTATTCATTGCTGACTGAATTCTTAAAACTTTAAGATCAGAATTTAATGCAGGGCTTGGTGGTGCACTCCTGTAATCCCAGCACTCAGCAGGCTGAGCCAGGAGGATTGCTGCAAGTTGGAGGCCAGCCTGGCTGCATAGTGAGTTCAAGGCCAGCCTGAACTACATACCAAGACACTGTCTCAAAACAGAAAAGATCAGAATTTAAGAAAAAACTTCATTTATTAATGGATTCTAATAGGATTCCTAAGAAAAATAAATTATATGCCAAAGTAGAAAACCTTTCAGAATATGATATAGTTATAAGTATAATAAAATCAGAACACAATGTGAGAATCACATACCAGGAGGGGTTTTATTTTTAAATATCTTTATTGAGGTACAATTAAAATACAATAAATACACATATTTAAAGTCCACACTTGATATATTTTGACATATATACACAGACATAAAACCATAACCATAATCAAGATACTGAACTGTCACCCTCCAAAATTTCACATTTTTCCTTGGTAATCCATCCTCCTCCATATCCCCCCACCTACCATTTCCAGACAACCACTGATACACTTCCTATCAGTAGAGATCAGTTTTCTTTAAATGAAATTGTATAGTATGAACCTTTTATGGTCTTTTATAGTAACCTTTTATACTTATTCTGTGATTCCTCTACATTAGAGCATGTATGAATACTCATTACTGCTAAGTAGTATTACTTTGTATGATTATACCGTAATTTGTTTATTCATGTGATAATGGATATATGGGTTGTTTATAGTTCTAGGCCATTACAAATAAAGCTACTGTAAACATTTGTGTATAAGTTTTTGAATGAACTTACATTTTATTTCTCTTGGGTAAGTACATAGTAGTGGAGCATATAATATGTAAATACATTTAACTTTTTGAGAAACTCCCACATGATATTCCAAAGTGGTTGCACTATTTTGTTCCTATCAGGGATGGGTAAGAATCTCCATGTCCTCACCAATGCTTAGTATGAACAGTTTTATATTTCAGAGTTTCTGTTAAGCGTATAGTAGCATCTCATGGTGGGTTTTCTGTTTTGTTTGGTACTGGGGATCGAACTCAGGACCTTGTGCTTGCAAAGCAGGCATGTGGCGCCACTGAGCTAAATCCCTGGCCCTCATGGTGGTTTTAATTTCAATTTTCCTGATGACTAACACAATTGAGCATTTTTTAATGTTTAATATGACATTTGTATCTTTACATATTTTTTAGTGAAGCATCTGAATCTTTCACCCATTTGTAAACTGGGATTTTTTTTCTTATGGAATTTTGAGAGTTTTAAAAAATATATTCTAGATAGAAGTCCTTTATTACATACTTTATTAGCTATGAAATATTTTCACTTTTTCACTTTCTTTTTTTTGGTACCAGGGATTGGGGATTGAACTCCCGTCCTTGCACTTGCTCAGCAGGTGGCGAAACCACTGAGCTAAATCCCCAGCCTTGCTTTCTTAATAGCATCTTTCAAAGGGCAAAGTTCTTAATTGTGATTTAATACAACTTATCTTTTTCTTTCTAGGTCTTACTTTTTTTGTTGTATTTAAAAAATCATTGCTTAACCTAGATCATAGAGATTTTCTCCTAGATTTTACATTTAGATCTAAATTTTAAAAAGGAAGAAGGGACCAGGGATTTAGCTCAGTGGTTTTGCCACCTGCTGCACAAGCGCAAGGATCTGAGTTCGAGCCCCGGTACCAAAAAAGAAAAAAAAAAAAAAGAAGAAGGGGTCTCACTGTATTACTCAGGCTTGCTCTGAACTCCTGGACTCAAACAGTATCTTGCCTGTCTGCATCCTGAGTAGTTAGGACTATGGGCCTGTGCCACCACACCTATGATCTATTTTGAGTTACTTTTTGTATACTTAGTACCAAGTATATATTATTATTTTATTGTTGGCATATATTTGCAGTACATAATTGCATACCTCTTTGGGAATTGTTAAATATGCATATCACATTTTGATCATCTTCTACTAGGTATATATTAAACCTTTTTTTTGCATGTGAATATCCATTTGTTCTAGCACAATTTTTATTTTTAATTTTTTTAATTTAAAAAAGTTTTATAAGTACATGTTTGCAATTCATACACTTTATAATCATCTTCAAGAGTGGGTACATGTACATATTACACCTTGGGTTTTTTTTTTAATACCTTTCCCCTTCCCTTTCCTCCACTGGTTCCCCATCCCCTTTTTGTACTTGTTGATATTATTTGTCTTAGATGATATGGCATATACTGTTTACATTAATTGGGGTTATTAAGTTCCTGTACATCTTTATTCCTCTCATTTCCCCTTCCCCTCATCCCTCACCCTTGTTCCCTTGGACCACTTCCCTATTGCAAGAGACCCATCCCCTTGTCCCTTTCTATCCATCCTTTATCATTTTCTTTGTTTGCGCTTTGCCTCATTCAAGAGATACCATATGGTATTTAAGCTTGTGTGTCTGATTTATTTCATTCAGTATTTTCCAGGTGCATCCATTTTCCTACAAATATCTCAAATTTGTCATTCTTTATAGCCAAGAAGTATAAATACTACATTTTCTTTATCCAGTTGTCTGTGGATAGATATACAAGCTGCTTCCAGGACTTAGCTATTATGAATTGTGCAGCTATAAATATTGGTATTTGTATTACTGTAGTATGATGACTTAAGCTCTTTGAGGAATATATCTAGCAGGGGAATAGATGGGTCATATGGACGATCTAATTTCAGTTCTTTGAGAAACCTCCATACTGATTTCCATGGTGGTTATACTAGTTTATATTCCCACCAACAATGCAAGAAGGTTCCTTTTTCATCACAGCCATGCCAGCATTTATTGTTTGATTTTCTAATGCTTGTCATTCTTTCTAGAGTGAAATGGAATCTTGGTGTTGTTTTAATTTGCATTTCTGTAATGGCCAGAGGTGTTGAACTTTTTTCATATATTTGTTGATCTTTTATATTTCTTCCTCTGTGAAGTATCTGTTCATTTCTCTAGCCCATTTCTTGACTGGATCTTTAATTTTAGGTAACTAATTTTTTTTTTAGTTTTTTGTGTATTCTAGATATTAGTCCTCTATCTGTGAAGTAACTGGAAAAAAATTTTTCCCATTCTATAGGTTGTCTCTTCCCTCTACTGATTGGCTCTTTTGCTGTACAGAAGCTTTTTAGTCTGATATAATCCCATTTGTTGATTCTGGCTGCTATTTCTTGTGCAATTGAGTTCTATTTAGAACATCCTTTCCTATACCTATGTTTTCAAGTGTTTTACCTATTTTATTTTCCAGAAGGTTTAATGTTTCTGTTTTAATGTTTATATCTTTGATCCATTTTTATTTTAATTTAGTATATAGTAAGAGATAAAGGGTCCATTTTGATTGTATTACAGATAACCAGTTTTCCCAATACAACTTGTTGAATAGACTATCTTTCCTCCAACATATGCTTTTGGGCCTATTGTCAGAGATCAAACAGTTGAATTGTCTGGGGATATTTCTGTAGCCTCAATTCTGTTCTATTGATCCATGTGTCTGTTTTTGTTCTACTCCCATGCTGTTTTTATCACTATTTCATTGTAGTATAGCTTGAAGTCAGGTATTGCAATACTGCCTGTTTTGCTCTTATTGTCCAAAATTACTTTTACTATTCTGGATCTCTTGTGGTTCAATATAAATTTTAGGATTGTTTTCTCTAGATCTATAAAGTATGCTGTTGGTATTTTGATTGGGACTGCATTGAATCCGTATAAGAGTTTTGGAAGTATGGCCATTTTGATAATATTGGTTCTGCCTATCCAAGAGCAAGAGACATCTTTTCATTTTCTGCTATCCTCTTCAGTCTCTTTCTTCAGAGTACCGTAGATTTCTTCATGGAGGTCTTTCACTTCTTGGTTAGGTTAATTCCTAGATATTTCATTTTTTCTTGAAGCAACTGTGAATGTTATTTTCATAATTTCCTTCTCATTCATTAATGATTTTCATCTAGTACAATTCTTTGAAAAGACTATACTTTATCCACTGAATTGCATTTTTACTTTGATGGAAAAAATCCATTAATTTTTTGTGCATGGGTCAGTTTTTAAACTTTCTTATTTCTCTTCCATTATTCTGTTTATCTATTTTAGTGGTCCTTAAACTAGGCAGTTTTGCTCCTCTTGATGCCAAAGCCACAGTCTTTTTTTTTTTTTTTTTTGTACCAGGGCTCAAACTCAGGACCTTGTGCTTGCGAGGCAGCTGTGGCGCCACTAAGCTAAATCTCCAGCCCCTATAGTCTTTTTTTTTGGTATTGGGGATCGAACTCAGAACCTTCTACTTGCGAGGCAGACGGCAGAACCACTGAGCTAAATCCCCAGCCCCCACAGTCTTGATTACTATAGCTTTATAATGAGTCTTAAAGTCAGGTGGTAGTATAAGTCCTTGACCCTTATTCTTCTTTTCAACTTTATTTTGGCTGTTCTAACTCCTTTGTGTTTCTATGTAAATATCAGAATCATATATCAACTTTTTAAAACATGATGGGCTGTGTTTTTTTTGGTTTTTTGTTTGTTTGAGACAGAGTCTTGGTCTATAATTCAGCCTGGCCTTGAACTCACTATGTAGCCCATGCTGGCCTGAAGCTAGTAGAAATCCTCCTGCCTCAGCCTCCGGAGTGCTGAGATCACAAGCATGCACCATCATGCCCGGCTCCCATGATGGTATTTTTTACTGTGATTATGTAATATATAGGTATATAAAATTGGGGATAATTTAAATCCTAACAATATTGATTCTTTCATTTTTTTCTACATTAGTTTATAGTTTTTGTGTACACATCTCACATATCTTCTTTTTTTTTTTTTTTTTTTTGGTACTGGGGATCAAACTCGGGTCCTTGCACTTGCACAGCAGGCGGCAAAACCACTGAGCTAAATCCCCAGCCATCACATATCTTCTAATAGTTGTATTCCTAAGAATGTATAAATAGTATTGTTTTTAATTTCAATTTCTTCTTTATTGTATAGAAATAAGATTTTATATATTAATCTTTTACTTTATAACTCTGTTAATCTCAATTATTGGTTCTAGTAGCTTTTTGGAAGATTCAACAGATTTTCTCCATGAAGAATCATGTTATTTTACATTTTCCTTTTTACTCTGGATGCCTTTAATTTCCTTTTTTCAACCACTGCAATGGATAGAACCAGAAGTATAATTTTGATAGCAGTGATGAGGGTGGACATCTTTGCTATGTTTCTGCTCTTAGAAGCAGAGTAGTCTGTCTTTTACCTTTAGGCCTGATGTTAACAGGTTTTGCATATGGCTTTTAACCAATTGAAGATTCCTTCTGTCTTTAGTTTGCGAAGAGTTTTTATTAAGAAAGGATGTTTGATATTGTGAAGTCCTTTTTCTACATACATTGAGATGGTCTTTTAGTTTTCCTTGTTTCTCAATATGGTAAGAGACTTTGATTTAATGTTAGAGGATAAAATAATCTGGCTTCTTTATATTCCAGGAATAAAATATATTTCTTCATCAGGATGCATTGTCTTTTAAAGTATATATTGTTGGGCTGGGGATTTAGCTCAGTGGTTTCACCGCCTGCTGCACAAGCGCAAGGACCCGAGTTTGGTCCCCAGTACCAAAAAAATAAAATAAAATAAAGTATATATTGTTGAAATCTAATTTCACTTAATAGTCTCATTGAAATATTTTGGGTTTCAATCTACCATCTTGCTATTTTCTCTTTGTCCCATGTATTCTGGTTTCCTTCTCTACCATCTTTTGGTATAATTGAGCTTTTTTATTGTCTTAAGTTACTTTTTTCTT